GTTTGTAGCAATTTTGCAGCTGATGCAAGCTTTTGCGCTCAGAAGAAGCGCAGTGGGGGGACAGTGGGCGTGGCTACACCGCGTAGCGCCCTCTCCCGCCCACGCAATCCTCGGAAGGTTCTGAAAAGTATCCAAAAGTCCTGCGCTAGGCGCGCCAAAAGGAAAAAAAAAAAGGTACAACCCCCCACCCACTCCCCGAGCTCTTCATTTGGACTACAGGTCGAGCTGCAGCGCGCCCGCCTCCTGCACTCCTTCTAGGGAGCTAAGCAGCCGGCTGGGTGGATCCGTGAGCAGGAGACGAAGCTCCATGCCTAACGACGACGCATTCGGCAAGCCCTCTACACCGACAGAGGTTCCTCACGCTCCCGGGGCCCCGCCGCAGGGCAAAGCCGGAGGCTACAGCAAAGCTGCCGGGGTGATGGCCGGAGCGGCTGGGGGCTCCAGCGCGGGGGGAAGCGGAGGTGCCTCGGGCTCCGGGCCGTCGGGCCTGGGCTCTGGAAGCAAGAAGTCCCCGAGGCTGCCGAAATGCGCTCGCTGCAGGAACCACGGCTACGCGTCGCCGCTCAAGGGCCACAAGCGTTTCTGCATGTGGCGGGACTGCCAGTGCAAGAAGTGCAGCCTGATTGCCGAGCGACAGCGGGTGATGGCCGCGCAGGTGAGTGTGGGCTCCCGGGGAACAGGGACGCGGCTCTCCGCGCTACCGTCGAAGTTAAGGGATGGGGACCGCCGACGGACGCCGGCTCGAGCGAGCCGGGGCTTCCAGACGCCGGGGTGGGGGTGGGGCGGCGGTGGAGGGTCGCGGGTTCTATCTGCTTGAATCCTGCGGATTTTTTTTGGGGGGGTGTTCCCGGCTATGATGCGGGGTTCGGGCTGCACACGCACACCCTGGCCTTCGGGAGCAGAGTGGCTCCATTAACTCTGCTCAGGGCTCCTTTATTTTGACCCCGTCTTCCATCTGAATTTCGGGGTTCACCACGCACTTGGGCCCCCACGGTCTTCAAGGGCGCTCTGCGAGTCGAGTCGCGAGATTCCCGAGTCAGAAGACCCCGGGACCAGGAATGTTTGGGCATCGGTGCGAGCGTCCCGAGATTCAGACATTGCTGGCAAACTGGCGGGGTTTGCTCCACTGGGAGGGCTGCCATGATTTTAAACTACCTTCCAAGCTGAAAATTGAGGGGTTCGCTCCTCTGGGAAGAATTCTTATAGCCCCGAACCCCTCGTTACACAAATAGAGAGTTGCGGGGATTTGGGCCCTAGGGTCCCTG